CATTTCTTCTTGGTGTCCAATTTATTGGCATGTAATTTTTCAGTTTCTCTAATAATTATTTGTATTTCTATGGTGTACATTGTGGTTATTCCTTCTTCCTTTCTGATTCTGTTTATCTGTTGACACTTTTTTCTTGATAACTCTGGCTAGGTGTTTACCTATGTTACTCATTTTTTTCAAAGACCCAGCTCCTGGTTTGTTTTTTTTCTACCACTTTATTCTTCTCCATTTTATTTATATGTCCCTCCTTCTACTGACTTTGGGCTTCATTTGTTCTTTTTTCCAGTTTCTTTGTGATTTTGCCCCGTTTATTTAGGATTGTTCTTGTTTCTTGAGGTAAGCCTGCATTGCTATGCACTTTCCTCTTAGAACTTCCTTTGCCGCCTCCCACAGATTTGGGGCTGTTGTGGTTGTTTTCATTTATCTCCATGCACTGAATGATTTGTTTCAATATGGTCATTGATCCACTCATTTAGAAGCATGTTGCTTAGCCTTCATGTGTTTTTAGGTCTTTCTGTTTTCTTTGTGTAATTTATTTCGCTTCATAGCACTGTGGTCTGAGAAGCTGCTTGATACAATTATCAATCTGTTTTGATTTATTGAGGCTCTTCATGTGGCCTAGTATGGGATCTATTCTGGAGAACGTTCCATATACACTTGAAATGCATATCATGGTGCTTTTGGGTGGAATGTGTAGATATCTGTTAAGTCCATTTGATCTAACGTATTGTTCAGTGCCTCTGTTTCCTTACTTTCTGTCTGGTTGACCTATTGACATAAGTGCTGTATAAAATCTTCTAAAGTCAATATGTTGCAATCTATTTTCCCCTTTAATTCTGCATTTGTTTTACATATTTAGGTGCTCCTATGATGGGTGCACTGATTTTTATAATGGCTATATCCTCTTGTTGGACTGATCCTTTTATCATTGCATAATGTCCCTTTTGTCTCTTACTTTATTTTGAAATCAATTTTGTCATGATAAAACTACTGCTAATACTGTTTTCTTCTATTAGTGGCATGGAATATTTTTTTCCATCCTGTCACTTTTAGTCTGTGTATGTTTGTGTCTGAAATAAGTCTCTTGTAGGCAGCATGTATATGGTCTTATTTCCTTATCCATTCTGTCACTCTATGTCTTTTGATTGGTGTATTCAGTCCATTTACATTTAAGGTGGTTATTGGTAGATATGTTCTTATTGCCCTTTTGTTTCCTGGCTGTTTTTTATAGCTCCTCTCTGTTCCTTTCTTCCTCTCTTACATTCATCTCATTATTGATGGTTTTCTTTAGTGTTGAAATTGGACTTTTTAAAATTTATTTTTTTGTGTGCGTATATATTGTAGGCTTTAGTTTTGTAGTTACCAAAGGTTCAAGGACAGGCTCATTATTGTATAATAGTCTATCTTAAATTGCGGATACTCTAACCAATCTAAAAGTAGTTTTTTTCTTCCTCCTCTTCCACATTTTTCATGTTAGATTTCATAATCTGCACTTTTCCGTATCCGTTGACTGATTTTGTGTATGATTGACTTTGCTTGTTTTAATTTCATCCTTGCTTGGTAATTAGTTGGTCTACTACCCTTACTGTGGATTTTCAGTGATAAAAGCTATTAACCCTTGAGTTACTTCTGTCTATAGCAATTCCTTTAACATATTGTATAAGATTGGCTGAATGGTGGCAATTCCTTCAACTTTATCTGGAAATTGTTTAATCCCTGCTTCAAATTTATTAATCTTCTCTGGTAGAGGATTCTTGGTAGGACATCCTTCTGTTTCAGTACATTAAATATATCATGCCACTCTCTTCTGGCCTGTAGAATTTCTGTTGAGACATCTGCTGACAGTCTGATGGGATTTCCTTTGTAAGTAATCTTTCTTCTTTCTCTGGCTGGTTTCAACACTGTCCTTATCCTTGATCTTTGCCATTTTGATTACTGTATGTGTTGGTGTTGTCTTCCTGGGCTTTTTGTTAGGGGCTCTCTATGCTTCTGTGACCTGAATTTCTATTTCCTTCCGCAGACTAGGGAAGGTGTCAACAATTATTTCCTTAAACTTTCTATCCCTTTGTCTTTCTCTTCTCCTTCCAGTACTCCTATCAGTTTCATTTGGATTGGTCACATTGTTCTCTTATCAATCTTTCATTCCTAGAAATCCTTTTTTCTCTGTTCTTCAGCTTGCTTTCCTGTTCTCTAACTTCTATTTCATTTAACATCTCCTCTACATGATCTAATCTACTTATAAATCCCCCCATTATGTTTCATTTCAGATATTCTGTAGCTCTGAGTGGCTTCTTCAGGTTTCTCGTTTTTGGTCTTCCCTGATATCTTGAATACTTTTTTGCAAACCCATGAGCATATTTATGACTTTTATTTTGAAATCTTTATCAAGATTGGTAATCTCCTTTCATTTAGCCTCTCTCTGGGGTTCTGTCTTGTAGTGTTGTTTGGATCAAATTCCTCTGCCTGCTCATTTTGTCAGGGATTCAGTTTCTTCCTTTGTATTAGATGTCTCTGCCATGCTTTCTGGTCTAAAGAGTAATAGCTTTATGAAGAAGGTGTGCTATGGTATCCAGGAGCTCAAGATTCTTTACTCAGTAGTATCTGGTTCTATTTTGTGGGGGCCCAGATGTTGGTGTGCTGTGGGTGGTGTGCCTATCTGGCATCTGTAGTGGACTAAGTTTGGGCAGGCAGATTGCTTCACTGCTGCCTTGCTGATCGGTTCAAGGATCTTTGATGAGCTCACTGTGGGCAGGACCACCCTCTGCCTAGCCTACAGCAATGGTGGGCTTCAGTGTTAATGGAGTGAGCAGACTGATGTGCCCCAGCTGGACACATTACTGGGTTTGGACACCCACAGAGGAGCTCTGGAGGCTGATTCCTCCAGGCACCTCTCCAGTTGGGCTGAAATGGAGCCAAGCAAGCTGGGAGAGTCTCCCCTTGCCTGCCAGGCAGCAAAGTCAGATGCTGCTGCTGAGCCAAGTGGGTCGGGTCCAGGCAATGAATGCATGCAGGTTGGAGCCTATGGGACTGTGTGCCAGCAAGAGGGATGGAGCATCTGGGGCTCCCAAGAGTTCCCAATCTGTTGGGCTGTGGAAAGGCTGGAAAGATATCCTCCACCTGCCTGTTCTTACAGTTCCATTTAACTCTTGCCTGTCAGGTACCCCTCTCACTGCTGCTAAGTCTTTCAAACTGCTGCCTCTGCTTTAGGTCTCAGGACAGGGAAGGCATGCCTGCCCTCCACAATGGCTGTCTTCTCAGCCTCCCAGTGTTTTCACCAGTCCGTGTCCAGCCCCACTAATCACTAGAACCCAGTAAAATGCAGGCTCATGCTCCTGGAGATTTCCAGGGCCAGGTGTGCAGCACTCCTGGGTTCCCACCCCCTCCCTGCTCTGTTCCCCTTTCTCCTGCCTGTAGGCTGGGTTGCAGATAGGGCTTCAGTCCTGCTTGATCTTGGCTTTGCCACTTGGCCTTTTCTGTGTGGTTGTCTCTTCTTCCTCAGGTGTACGTGGTCTGTTTTGCAGCCTTCAGGTCATTTTCAGGTTTAGTTATATTTGGTGTATTTTCTTCTCTTGTGTTCTTGGAAGGAGGTTTCTGCCCTGCCTTCATATTCCACCATCTTTAATCCCTTGAAGCTGAACAGTGATTTTTATAGTTATGTTTGATATATAATCTTTTCCTCACATCTTTTTACCACTATTACCTCAAGTTTTATTTTCTCCTGGCATACTGCTATTTAAGTCTGCTCTTCTAAGTCATTCAATACTTACCTAGATAGCCAAACCCAAAGTTTATATCTGGGATAATATTTTCAGGCAGCGTGTTCTTTCATTAAACAGCTCCAAATATTTTTTACCAGCAAAGTGTCCTTCATATGTATTTTTTATATCGACGTTCTTTTTTATCTCTAAAATTTGTCATTTGCCCACAAACCTTTTTTATGTTTGATTCCTAAAGCCATCATCCTTTTTTTACATTCTATTTCCATTAAGCCATCATCTGTCAATCTATTTTTGTTCTAGTTTGGGGTTCATTTCCAATTTTTTCCCCTTTATTTCTACTGTTTTCTCAAGTTTTTTAAATTGACTTTTGGTATTCTTTCATATTTTATATCATTTTCAAAACATTTTAGAACTCATTTTTAAATAACAGGTAATAATTTTTATCTTTCTAAGGACGTGTTGCTGGTGTGCTTTCAATGTCTCTACAGACTAAGTTGTTCCTAATCCTCTTATTTTTTGTGATAACATTGCATATAGTTTTATGTTATTTATTTTGTGTGAAACCAGCTTTTCTAAGTTTTTAGAAAGAGACTTGGTTCAGGGTAACTTTTCCAGTTTCTCAGAGTTCCCACTTCTTTGTTTTTTTGTATAGTATTGAAAAATAAGGCAGCTTGCTTTCTTAGACATTCCTGTTTTTGTTGGTTTATTATTATAGTTTTTTAATTGAGAGATAGTTGACATATACTATTACATAAATTTGAGGTGTAAAATGTGTTGGCTTGAACCATTCATATTATTTCCTGGCTCTTTTTAAATGATGATAGACACAAAAGTAGGTAAGACACAATACTGAGTAAAGAAACAAACCCATACACAGCAAACAAGTATTTTTAGCCAGAAAGCAAACTTCATGGTTCACAGAGGTGTATGGCAATTAAATGCTCTCTCAAGCACACATAAAAAAATCCCACAGCCCTTTTACAAAGATGGGTAAAACTCAAAATATAAATGCAAGAGTTTCCTTAAATAATTAAGTTCTATATGTAATGAAATAGGATACAAAATATATTTTAAGTTGGAAGAGAAAGACTTCAATATAAAAAGTTCAGATGAAAAACGTTTTCTATATATGTAATGATAAATGGATTTTCATCCATTCCAGTAACATTCCTTAGTATCACTTCATCTCAGGAACTAAATATACCTTCAGTGGTAGTCTGCTATGATTTCAAAAAGCATATCAAAGCCTTCCATATGTTAGTTACTCTTTATAAAGATGTATTAAAAACAAGATACAAATTTATTAAATGCATGTACTATAGTGAAATATTTTAATTAAAAACATCCTTTTCACATAAAAGCCAGCTTGATGAGGGTCTCACTGGCCTAGGGGGATAATGTGAACAAAAGATTAATGACTGCAAGTGACTGAAACAGTAAATAAAGAAAAAAAAGAGCTGTAAATACATAGTGATACTAAGGGATAAAAAATTTTTAATTCATAGGACATCAGTGGAAGTTTCCAGGGCACCAAATTACTCTAAAAACTGAGAGGGAAATGATTAGATATTTATCCTCCAATTCTGATATGAATGTATTCCATGATGAAGAAATTAACCCTAGTGGATAGAGCAACGCTCTTCTACATGGAAGAATTCCAGCTAGTAAATGGAAAATCGTCATTCTGCAAACCTTAGAAATAACTGATTCAGGCAAGTATCATTAATGCATGCTGTTAAAAACAGAAGAAGAAGAAAAACAGAATTAAATGTCTCTTGGTTTAATATAACATGTATACTACTACTATCAAGTACTCTTCTCCAAAAAAATGAAATCAGAATCTAATTAATCCTCTCTGGATCTAACTTCTAGGATATGGGATAAAACAAGTTACACAAGATAGCAATCAAACTCAGTCTGTGGGACACTCTATAGCAACACACATGATTGTTTCAACAAGTCATCTGTGTTGGACAATGGAAAAAAGGAGGGGAACTAACTCTCAAGATATTCCAAAAAACTACCAAATATAGGAAGTATACCTAGTCTACTCAGTGATTCAAACAAATCAATGGTGAATACATTTGTTGGAGATATTTGGGAAATTTAAAAATGGACTGCATATTAGATATGAAGAAATTGTTAATTCTGTTAAGTGTGATACTGACATTGTAATTACATATGAAATGTTCTTTTTTGCTACATCCACAAGTATTTAGATTAAAATGACATCACATCTGAGATATGCCTTAAACAAAACAGGGGGAGAAGAAACAAGTATGGCAAAATACTAATGGTTATATGATCATTAAAGCTGGATTACAGGTTTACGGAGGTTCATGGCATATTTTCTCTATTTCAGCAAACACTGAATATTTGTAATAATAAAATAAAAAAATAATCACTACAAATATGTTCAATATATATATAATTGACAGAATTTATTATCAAGAAATTTTAGTAGGTTTTTAAAAAGACTATTTTGGTTTTAGAATACTGAAAAGTTGACAATCCACTATAGGACATATACAAACAAGGATAATTAAAATATTAAATACCACCTAAGTTAAAAGACCATAATCCAAATTGGTAATTATAATATTTGTGTCTTAATATAGGTAACTGCACATGTACTCTTCATGAAATCACCCCACCCACTCATGAAGACTACCAAGCCTCACCACAAATTCAATTATATCACTTACAGTAATCAATGTTGCATTTTTTTGTGCTTAAGCATGCACTATCACAGAAAGCACAAAGTCCTATTCAAAGGAATTTGTTTCTTTAAAATGTCTATCAAGCATCTTTTAAAGTGCGAGCTACAAATATGCTATATACTTGAAGAAAAGGGCTTCTAAAGGATGGGAGATAGCTATCCAATACTTCCAAGAGTGGTTATATAACTAACCAAATGAAACCCAGCAGTACTCTGTTAACTCTGTTTTAGTGTAGCAGCCTCCTCCTCTGTTGTCTGAGTTCTTAGCTCTTACTATACTACCAGCCGAACATGTAATCCATTGCTTTCGATACAAGACTTTCATCTTTTTTTGGTGTTTGTCTGTCAGAAATAACCTATTAAAAAAACACATATAACTGTTAGATTATGGTTTCTGCAGTGTCATAGTCAATTTTAGAGTTAATGGTTAATTTAAAAGGACCAAACACTAAAATGCATTTGGAGCACTAAATTGTACATTTAAAGATTAAAATATGGATTTAGTTGGAATATCCATATGCTTTTAAGAATGGCAAAATCTTACTCCCTCGGCAAGGCAAATTACATCTGCTCCTTAAATTAGGAAACAACAAACAACACAAAAGCTATAAGAGATTAGGGCTTTAAAAATATTGGATAAAAAAAAAAACCTAAAGGAAAAAAATTTCTAGGAAGATCTCCAAATTTCAGGCAGAGTCAAATTATCTTCCCTACTAAAACACAGGTGTTTTTCTATTTGCTGCTTCAGAGTCCATGTCTGCCACTAGGGAAGTTCAGAATTTATGGCCAATTAAGGGACAATAACACATCGAATCAGAGTCATAATACTTCTACTATTCTTCAATGAATATTAATGAACTTTTAAACATACTGAAGTCAGAAATTTTGAGATGGGAGCTGGTCAATGTTTTCTTTTGATATCAAAGCTACTCCAACTGAGGGTCTTCATTTGTGATGCCATCAGATACAATTACCAATTCAATAGGGTTTTAATATTATTGCCTCATGCCAGAGATATTCCTGAGAAACCTTTTATGTATGCAAACACGGAAAAAAATAACAAATACTCACAAAGTTTTAACAAATGGCAAAGAAATTTTTTAAAAAATCAAAGCTAAGTTTCCAATCAGCCAAAATTCTAATTTTTAAAATAGTAAATTTAAGACTAAAAAGTTTACAGGTTTCATCAAGGCTATCACTTCAGTAGGAAATATTTAATGGCATACAAATCAATCCAATGAAAAAGCTAAACAGGCTATACACCTCTACCTTTAAAGTATTTCTTTTTATACATTCACTAAAATACCTGATAGTCACTAGTAGAAGCTTTATATGCTGTAGCCAGAGGTCTCATTGTAGAAATCCTAGGAGTATTTCCAGGTTGGGTTGGTGTACCTAAGGTTCTGATTGGTGGTGTAAAGGCTAGAGATGGAGATGGTAAAGCACACCTGTCACCATTTTCCATAACACTCTGGAGAAATAAAGATAAAGGACTTCTCTGTTTATAAACGTAATACATCTTAACCCACTTACAAAGAAAACTTCATTAAAAAAGGCATACATTATTTGATCTGATTTACTTTTCAAGTAATTTCAGGCTTGTAAAACAATTTATGCTTCTTAACTACCATTTGAGATTTAATGCTCAGCCAGAAATCTCACTTCAATGACCTCAAACATCCTCAAAACAACAATAAACTCACGAGAAGAATCTCTTAACCAACACTAAGAAAAATCAGCAAGGAAGAAAAAGAATTCTGGGGGACATCTGCAGTGGAGGAGAAAATCAAAGTCTATTGCTATTTAGTACCCAATAACCCCAACTTTTCCTCTAGCCTCTGCAAACATCTGTTACAGCACAATATAATAATTATACAACTACACAGTGACCCTAGATTATAAGAACAGGAGCCATGTCTGCTTTGTGCACTAATGTGTGTGCACAAGCACCCAAGCAGAGTGCCTGGTAGGTAGAAGAAGTTCAAATATATTTACTTAAAGAATGATCATAATGATTTTACAAGCCACAGAGAAAAGCTTAAATTGTGCCTTGTATTGTTTTTTAAGTATTTACATATAAAGTAATTTTAAAATTATTTCAAAATAAAAATGACTAATTAAAAGCTTCAGTCATTTAAAAGTTAACCCTCAGTTACCATTCATGTGAATATTTCATTGTGAAATAGCACCATTCCTTTAAAGTGTTTGAAGACTGTGATGTAGCTCTGCCCAAGAAACAGATAATAAATTAAGAGACCTAAAGTCTAGGCTTCACCTTTAACAAATCTGGATGTTACTTAAGTCCTCTTGGCCTCTATATCTGTAAAATGAAGTTGTTGGGATGGATTACTGTTAAATTCTGAACCTGGTGACTAAACATCTCTGACATACCATACTACCAGCACTTAACATCATCATATTTACAAACTAAGATACATATGAAGCAATGTGAAATAACTACCACTATTAATACATAGACTTCTTCTATTCATATAGATTAAGTGGTTTTCCTTACATCAGCAATAACTTACTTTATCTATACATGGTTTCACACCAATCATTATGGACTCTCCAAAAATCCTCCCATCTTTGCTTAAGGCTTTCCGGGCCTGCAGTTTAGACTGATAACGAATGTGCATCCAATTTCCGGTGTTAGACATCTACAAAGAATGAAGTCATCTCTTAAAATATGGAATACATAAAATCTAAACTTAATTAGTTCTATTAGAAAATACAAATACATGAAGATAAACCTGCTTCCACTTTTTATTGACACCCTGTAAAAGTGATTACTAGGATTCAACAGAAATTCTATTAAACAATTTCAATAATCTCTATCTAGCTCTTAATTCCTTAATATAAAGAATATGTGGCAAATATTCTCAGAAAGTAAAGTAACTCTCAAAAAATAATTGTTTCTTCAAAAGCAAAAATGAACAAATGGGACTATATAAAGCTGAAAAGCTTCTTCTGTACAGCAAAGGACACCATCAATAGAACAAAAAGGTATCCTATAGTATGGGAGAATATATTCATAAATGACAGATTCAACAAAGGGCTGACATCCAAAATATATAAAGAGCTCACACACCTCAACAAACAAAAAGCAAATGATCCAATTAAAAAATGGGCAGAGGAGCTGAATAGACAGTTCTCAAAAGAAGAAATTCAGATGGCCAACAGACACATGAAAAGATGCTCCACATTGCTTGTCATCAGAGAAATGCAAATTAAAACCACAATGAGATATCATCTCACACCAGTAAGGATGGCTACCATCCAAAAGACAAACAACAACAAATGTTGGCAAGGTTGTGGAGAAAGGGGAACCCTCCTACACTGCTGGTGGGAATGTAAATTAGTTCAACCATTGTGGAAAGCAGTATGGAGGTTCCTCAAAATGCTCAAAATAGAAATACCATTTGACCCAGGAATTCCACTTAGAGGAATTTACCCTAAGAATGCAGCACTCCATTTGAAAAAGACAGATGCACCCCTGTTTATCGCTGCACTATTTACAATAGCCAAGAGATGGAAGCAACCTAAATGTTCATCAGTAGATGAATGGATAAAGAAGAGGTGATACATATACACAATGGAATATTACTCAGCTATAAGAAAAAAACAGATCCTACCATTTCCAACAACATGGATGGAGCTAGAGGGTATTATGCTCAGTGAAATAAGCCAGGTGGAGAAAGACAAGTACCAAATGATTTCACTCATATATGGAGTATAAGAACAAAAGAAAACTGAAGGAACAAAACAGCAGCAGAAGCACAGAACCCAAGAATGGACTAACAGTTACCAAAAGGAAAGGGACTGGGGAGGATGGGATAAGGGTGGGAAAAAAGAAAGGGGGCATTATGATTAACATGTATAGTGTCGGAGGGGGCATAGGGAGGGCTGTGCAACATGGAAAAGACAAGTAGTGATTTTACAGCATCTTACTATATTGATAGACAGTGACTGTGAAGGGGTATGTGGGGGGGACTTGGTGAGGGGGGGAACCTAGTGAACATAATGTCCTTCATGTAATTGTATATTAATGATACCAAAATAAAATTTAAAAAAAAAAGATAATTGTTTCTTGCAAAAAAGTCTTAACAACTCTTACTGTATTTTAAAAAGCTCTACTCATCAATCTGATTTTCTTAGGAGTTAAACAGTCCATCTCTAGTAACAGAAAAAAGATTGATTTATAACTTGTACAATGTAAGATAATTCTTTTAAAAAAGCTCTCTATGGACTAAAAAAAACCCTAAGAACTCTAAATCAGGAACTTCTCCCTTTTCCTTTAACCCATATCAAACAACTTCAAATTGGAATACAGTAATAAAATATTTGGAATAATCTACCTTTTATAAGGCTCTGTGAACTATTTTAGAAGAGAGAGAAGCCTGAAACTCTTTCTTGATTCTTTCTCTTTTTTCAAATACTATGCAACTTCAGCCTTCCAGACTCTAAAAAACACATTCTATGAAAACTTTAAAAACTCTCTCAGTTGGAAAAAAGCCAAAATTCAGCTGCCAAGTTTCCCCCAATTCACAGCCTAATGCTTCAATTGAAAGAATTAAGACTTACCACATGTTTTAAGACATTCCCATATTGCGCAAATTGTAATAATATATAAGAAGCGGATGCTTGAGGAAACCTGAAAAAAAAATGTTTCCAAGTCAACTTCCACAATAAATACACAACACCAAATTTAGAAGTATTCAAGATAAATTACCCTCAAATGTCAGGTATTAATAGATCCCCTGATTATCCTGTTTTCTCCAATATCAGCTAAATCCATCATTGCCTATCATCCAAAAAGCAAACATGTAAAAATTAAATTTGACTCAGCCATTCTTCACTATCCCTAGATTCCACCTCTATAACATTCAGTTACAGATGTGAATAAAATTTATTTTATACAGGTACAGTGTGTGTGAGAGAAATATTTAGGTATACTGTGGTTATTAAAGGGAAAAATCTTAAATTACATAGTCACTATCACATATTGAGTACCACGTGAAAATTCAGAAATTAGTCCTGAGACAAAAAAAAAGTCAGTTATCAATATCAATGGTATAGAAACACTAAAAGGATAGCTTCCAAAATTTTAATAGCCATATCTCTGTATGATAAAATTCTGAGATTTTTACTTTCTTCTTCTTTATAAATTTATGTATGGTTTGACTATTTTATTAAGATATTTTTAATTTTATAGTCCAATTTTTTCCATTTTCATGTTGAAAAAAATTTGGAGTTTACTTAACCAGTAGCTTCAGTTATCTGGAGCTTGGATTACAACCTTAAAGAAAAAAGTCCAAGTTACAAAAATAATTGAGAAATTGCATGCATTAAAATATATTAATTCTTCCTAATCAAGAGCATGGGATGAGTTTCCATTTCTTAATGTCCTCTTTAATATCCCTTAAGAGTGTCTTGTAGTTTTCAGGGTATAAAGGTCTTTCACTTCCTTAGTTAGGTTTATTCCTAGGTATTTCATTCTTTTTGATGCAGTTGTGAATGGAATTGTTTTCCTGATTTCTCTTTCTGCTAGAGTTCATCATTAGTGTATAGTAAAGCAACGGATTTCTGTGTATTAATTTGGTATCCTGCAACTTTGCTGAATTCAGATATTAATTCTAGCAGTTTTGGAGTGGAGTCTTTAGGGTTTATTATATACAATATCATGTCACCTGCAAATACTGACAGTTTGACTTCTTTACAAATCTGGATGCCTTGTGTTTCCTTGTTTCGTCTGATTGCCAAGTCTAGGACCTCCAGTACTATGTTGAATAACACTGGGGAGAGTGGGTATCCCTGTCTTGTTCCCAAAATTAGGTGAAAAGCTTCACCTTCTTGCTGTTAAGTATGATGTTGGCTGTGGGTTTGTCATATATGGGCTTCATTGTGTTAAGGTACTTGCACTCTATACCAATTTAGTTGAGAGTTTTTACCATGAATGGATGTTCAATTTTGTCGAATGCTTTTTCAGCGTCTATGGAGATGATCATGTGGTTTTTGTCCTTTTTGTTGATGTGGTGGATGATGTGGATGGATTTTCCAATGTTGAACCATCCTTGCATCACTGAGATGAATCCCATTTGATCATGGTGGATGATCCCCTTGATATATTTTTTAATTTGGTTTGCTAATATTTTGTTCAGTATTTTTGCATCTACCTTCATCAGGGATGTTGGTCTGTACTTTTCCTTTTTTTGTGGGGTCTTTGCCTGGTTTTGGTATTAGAGTGATGCTGGCTTCATAGACTGAGTTTGGAAGTACTTCCTCCTCTTCTATTTTTTAGAAAACTTTATGGAGAATTGCTATTATGTCTTCTCTATAAGTCTGATAAAATTCAGCGGTGAATCCATCTGGCCTGGGAATTTTGTTCCTGGGTATTTTTTTGATTACCAATTCAATTTCATTGCTGGTAATTAGTCTATTCAGATTTTCTGTTTCTTCCTTGGTCAGTCTTGGATGGTTGTATTTTTCTAGAAAGTTGTTCATTTTGTCTAGGTTATCCAGTTTGTTAGCATATAGATTTTCATAGTATTCTCTAATAATTCTTTGTATTTCTGTGGTGTCCGGCGGGATTTTTACTTTCCCATTTCTGATTCTGTTCATGTGTGTAGATTCTCTTTTCTCTTAATAACTCTGGCTAGGGGACTATCTATTTTGTTTTTTTCCACAAAAAACGAGTTCTTGGTTTCATTTATTTTTTCTAATGATTTATTCTTCTCAATTTTATTTATTTCCTCTCCAATCTTTATTATGTCCCTCCTACTGCTGACTTTGGGCCTCATTTGTTCTTCTTTTTCTAGTTTCAATAATGGTGACTTTAGACTATTTACTTGGGATTGTTCTTCCTTCTTTAAACAGACCTCGGTTGCTATACACTTGCCTCTTGCCTCTTAAAAGTGCCTTCACTGCATCCCACAGAAGTTGGGGCTTTGTGATGTTGTTGTCATTTGTTTCCATATATTGCTTGACCTCTGTTGTAATTTGGTCATTGATTATTTAGCAGGGTGTTGTTAAGCCTCCATGTGTTTGTGAGCCTTTTTGTTTTCTTTGTACAATTTATTTCTACTTTTATACCTCTGTGATCTGAGAAGCTCGTTGGTACAATTTCAATCTTTTTGAATTTACTGAGGCTCTTTTTGTGGTCTAGTATGTGGTCTATTCTGTAAAATGTTCCATGTGCACTGGGGAACAAAGTGTATCCTGCTGCTTTTGGTTGTAGAGTTCTGTAGACATGTGTTAGATCCATCTGTTCTAGTGTGTTCAGTGCCTCTGTGTCCTTACTTATTTTGTCTGGTTGATCTGTCTTTTAGAGTGAGTGATGTGTTGAAGACTCCTAAAATGAATGCATTGCATTCTACTTCTTCCCTTAATTCTGTTAGTATTTGTTTCACATATGTTGGTGATCCTGTGATGGGTGCATATATAATAGTTATATCCTCTTGTTGGACTGACCCCTTTATCATTATGTAATGTCCTTCTTTATCTCTTGTTACCTTCTTTGTTTTGTAGTCTATTTTCTCTGTTACAGGTACTGCCAACACCTGCTTTTTTCTCACTATTCTTTGCATGAAATATCTCTTTTCATCCCTTCATATTAGTCTGTGTATATCTTTGGGTTCAAAGAACATACATATTTTAGATGTACTTCCCTATAAATAATCAAAGTAAAAATATTTATTCCTTGGAAGAAAATGTTTCAGTTCTTGCAATTAAACTCATAGAGTTACTAAAACAAGAAAATAAACAGTTGGGAAAGTTTATCACAGAAACTCTGAAAAGGACCAACAGAAATACTTCAAGTAATTTATCCAATTACTAAGGGTAATAACACCATTATTGAAAAGCAGACTTGGGAGTTGTCATCCAAGTTCACAATCACACAGCCATTTCATGAGAGAATACAAAAATTTAAACACACACACAAAAATCGTAAGAAGCCAGCCCAGTTGCTATGGATATAGGACTGAGTCTGGGCTTTCATGAGAGCAAGGAAAAGCAAAATCCTGCTTTAATTTACACACAGAATCTCTGGAAGGCTAAACAAAAAACAGGATGCAATTATTGCCTTAAAGGAGAGACTTGTACCTGGGGACCAAAATGGGAAGGAAAACGTTTCACTTTATACTCTTACATATTCTTTTTAATTTTTAAGTAAATTTAAATAAATGTTATACATTTGAATAAATAAATTGAATTCACTAACATTTACTGTACACTGTTTTTCCTTCAAGCTCATACATTTTTATATTTTTTACCCCAAACCTAATATACTCAGGTACAATATTAACATGACCTATTAAACTTTCAAAAAAAACCTCTATGCTAGTATAATGTGAAAAAATCACACTCTTAAATCACCATACCTGAGTTTTTCCTGAAGTCTTAGTAGTAACTAGACATAAACCTCTTAACAAATCACTTAATGTGTGAATACCTCAGATTCCTCATCTGTAAGTTATATAATACAATCTCTAAGTTACTTTAAAGAACTTTTTGGGATCTAAAAATCCACTCTAAATGCATCCAGGACTATCATGCAGGATTTCTATTACTATTCAATATTTGACTATAAAGTATGTGTGCATGTCTGTGTGTATACATATATATACACACACACAAACATACAAATGAAATTCCATTTGTTAGTTCCAGACTGGTTAAGTCCACTATAAGCAGATAAACAACCACTAGACAGAAAGGAGCTTCCTACACCCAAAGGGCCAACCTTGTTTCCATATCCAGCAAATACGATGAAGAGAAAACAATCTGAGAAAAGGCAAACAGATAAATGATGAAAAAACTATAAATAAATATTGAACACTAGTTTAATAGTATCCTGAAGTGTTAGGGTGATTTGTACCAATGTTTGTCACTTACTTTCAAATACAGTAACAAAAAAAAAGATGAACTAAAGAAGATAAAACAAATATAGCAAATTGTTAACAATGCAGAATCTAGGTGGTAGATATACTGGTATTAGCTGTGTACTTATTTTAATTGTTTGTAGATTTGATAATATTTGTTATGAAGTTAGGTAGAGGTGTTTTTTTTAAAGGTAAATGATCCAGAAATCTTACCCAAATACAGTCACCCAAGTGTCATCAAGATGGTCTTCAGAAGTCAGAGAATCTCCTTGAGTATAAAAAGGATCCAACTGGGCAGGAGATAATGTTGTCTTTCGTGGTTGACCAATGTTTGCTGGACTAAACACACTTTGTCCTATATTAGTGCATTTAATAAGTTAGTTACAATATAAAGATTTTGATTTATTTTAAATAAAAGCTCTTATTTTAAAATTAAAAACTTCTAAATTTCTTTAAATGTATTAAAAGTTGGCAATTGTATAGATAGTTCAACATACACAAATATGGTAAATGATAATTTTATTTACAATAATGTACAACCTTAAGAAGCCATTAATAATTGGGCATAATTTATGGTTTTGCAAATGTTTTACTTTATCACCAATTATAAACTTGCTAAGTATTTTATTAATTTCTGGTTAGGCCTACACCAGAAGGATCTCCAGTCAATTTAAAGGACTTATGCTGTTTAACACTCCACTTAGATCAATGGACAGATCATCCAGACAGAAAATAAATAAGGAAACAGATGGACTGAACAATAAATTAGATCAGATGGATTTAACAGATACGTACAGAACATTCCACCTAAAAGCAGCGGGATATACATTTTTCTCAAAAGCACAAGGAACATTCTCCAAAATAGATCACATATTAGGCCATAAAAAAAGCCTCAATAAATTCAAAAAGATGGAAATTTTATCAAGCATCTTTTTATATTACAATGATATGAAATTAGAAATAAATCACATGAAGAAAACAAAAAACACCACAAATACATGGAATCTAAGCAACATGCTTCTAAATAATCAATAGATTGATGAAGAAATCAAGCAGTTCATGGAGACAAATGAAGACAAAAATACAAGAGTTCAAAATACGTGGGATGCCACAAAAGCAGTTCTAAGAGGGAAGAAGTACATAGCAATACAGGCCTACATCAAGAAATAAACAGTCTAAACTCACAGATGATGAAACTAGAGAAAGAAGAACAAATGAAACCCACAGTTAGTAAGAGGAGGTACATAATGAAGATCAGAGCACAAATAAAACAATAGAAAAAAAAATCAACAAATCCAAGTGCCAATTCTTTGAGAAGATAAACAAAATAACCCCTAGCGTGACTCAATGAGAGAGCACACAAACAAAATCAGAAACAAAAGAGTTATAACTGACACCACAGAAATACAAAGAATTATTAGAGAATTCTATGAAAAATATATGCCAATAAATTGGACAACCTAGAAAAAATGGACAAATTCTTAGAAAAGTACAAACTTCCAAGACTGACTCAAAATAAAGAGAAAACCTGAACAGACCAATTACCAATTAAATTACCGAATTGGTAATAAAAAACTCCTAACAAACAAAAGTCCAGGACCAGACGGCTTCTACCAAACACTTCAAAGGCTAATACCCATCCTTCTTTAAGTATTCCAAAAAGTAGAAGAGGAGGGAGTATTTCCAAACTTATTCTCTAAGGCCAGCATTATTCTAATACCAAAACCAAAGACACCACAAAAAAAGAAAATTATAGACCAGTATCTCTGATGAACACAGATACAAAAATCCTCAAAAAAATATTTATTCCAGGGATCCAGGATGGTACAATATTCACAAATCAATCAACATGAAACACCACATTAACAAAAAGGATAAAAACCATATGCTCATCTCCATAGATGCTGAAAAAGCATTTGACAAAATTCAACATCCATTCATGGTAAAAGCTCTCAAATAAAATGGGTATAGAGGGCAAGTACCTCAACATAATAAAGGCCATATATGACAAACCCACAGCCAACATACTTAACAGCAAGAAGCTGAAAGCCTTTCTTTTAAGATCAACAACAAGAAAAGGGTACCCACTCTCCACACTTTTAATCACATAGTACTGCAAATCCTAGGTATAGCTATCAGACACGATTTAGAGATAAAAGGTATCTATGTAGGTAAGGGAGAAGGAAAACTCACTATTTTCAGATGGCATATTATACACAGAAAACCTTAAAGACTACCAAAAAACTATTAGAACTAATAACTGGATTCAGAAAAGTTGCAGAGCTCAAAATTAATACAGAAATCTGTTGTATTTCTATATACTAATAAACTAGTAGAAACAAAAATCAGGAAAACAAATTCCACTTTAGGAATTTACCTGAAGAATGCAGCAGCCCAGTTTGAAAAAGAAAGATGCACCCCTATGCTTATCGTAGCACTATTTACGATAGCCAAGAAATGGAAGCAACCTAGGTGTCCATCAGTAGATGAATGGATAAAGAAGATGTGGTACATATACACAATGGAATATTATTCAGCCATAAGAAGAAAACAAATCCTACCATTTGCAACAACATGGATGGAGCTAGAAGGTATTATGCTCAGTGAAATAAGCCAGGCGGAGAAAGACAAATACCAAATGATTTCACTCATATGTGGAGTATAAGAACAAAGGAAAAACTGAAGGAACAAAACAGCAGCAGACTCACAGAACCCAAGAATGGACTAACAGTTACCAAAGGGAAAGGGACGGGGAAGAATGGGAGAGAAAGGAGGGATAAGGGTGGGGGAAAAGAAAGGGAGTATTACGATTAGCATGTATAATGTGGGGGTGGGCATGGGGAGAGCTGTGCAACACAGAGAAGACAAGGAATGATTCTACAACAACATACTACGCTGATGGACAGTGACTGTAATGGGGTTTGTGGGGGGGGACTTGATGAAGGGGGGACCCTAGTAAACATAATGTTCTTCATGTAACTGTAGATGAATGATAACAAAAAAAAAATCAGGAAAACAATTTACATCTGCATGAAAAAAATAAAACACCTAGGAACAAACCTAACCAAGGAGGTGAAATACCTGCATTCTGAAAACTGTAAGACACTCGAGAAAAATTAAAGACACAAATAAATGGAAATCTCTCACATGTTCATGGATAGGAAGAATATTATGAAATGGCTATCCTGCTCAAAGCAATTTACAAATTCAGTGCACTTCCTACCAAAATACCAAATGGCATTTTTCAATGAACTAGAACAAATAATCCTAAAATTCCTATAGAATTACAAGAGACCCCCAAATAGCCAAAGCAATCTTGAGAAAGAAGAACAAAGGGGGGGTATTACACTCCCTGACTTAAAGCTTTGTTACAAAGCTACAGATCAAAACAGTATGGTACTGGCACAAGACGAGACCCATAAATCAATAACAGAATAGAGAGGACAGATATAAACCCATGCATATATGGTCAATTAATACAAGATAAAGGAACCATGAATAAACAATGGGGAAAAGACAGTCTTCAATAAATGGTTTGAGAAAACTGGACAGATACATGCAAGAGAATCAAACTGAATTACCATTTAACTCCATACACAAAAATAAACTCAAAATGGATTAAAGATCTAAATATAAAGATTTAAAACTCTTAGAAGAAAACCTAAGCAAAAATTTCCAAACAGAAGCATGAGCAATTTATTTTTGGACACATCTCCTCAGACAAGGGAAACAAAATCAAGAATGAACAAATGAGACTACAACAAACGAAAAAGCTTCTGTACAGAAAAGGACACCATCAACAGATCAAAAAGGCAACCTAAAGTATGGGAGAATATATTTGTAAATGATTTATCCAATAAGCAGTTAACATCCAAAATATTTAAAGAACTCATACAACTCAACACCAAAAAACAAATAAGCTGATTAAAAAATGAGCAGAGGACCTGAACAGACATTTCTCCAAAGAAGAAATACAAATGGCCAACCGGTACATGAAAAGATGCTCCACATTGCTAATCATCAGGGAAATGCAAATCAAAACCACAATGAGAAATTACCTCACACCAGTCAGAATGGCCTTTTCCTATCCAAAAGACAAGAAACAACAGTGTTGGCAAGGATGTGGAGAAAAGGATACCCTCCTACATACACTGTTGGTGGGAATGGAAATTGGTACAGCCACTATGGAAAGCAGTATGGAGGCTCCTCAAAAAACTTAAAATAGAAATACCGTACAACCCACTGTACTTCTAGGAATTTGCCCAAAGAACACAAAATCTGATTCAAAAAGACATATTCAGCCAAACTCACAGATGATGAAACTAGAGAAAGAAGAACAAATGAAACCCACAGTTAGTAAGAGGAGGTACATAATGAAGATCAGAGCACAAATAAAACAATAGAAAAAAAAATCAACAAATCCAAGTGCCAATTCTTTGAGAAGATAAACAAAATAACCCCTAGCGTGACTCAATGAGAGAGCACACAAACAAAATCAGAAACAAAAGAGTTATAACTGACACCACAGAAATACAAAGAATTATTAGAGAATTCTATGAAAAATATATGCCAATAAATTGGACAACCTAGAAAAAATGGACAAATTCTTAGAAAAGTACAAACTTCCAAGACTGACTCAAAATAAAGAGAAAACCTGAATAGACCAATTACCAATTAAATTACCGAATTGGTAATAAAAAACTCCTAACAAACAAAAGTCCAGGACCAGACGGCTTCTACCAAACACTTCAAAGGCTAATACCCATCCTTCTTTAAGTATTCCAAAAAGTAGAAGAGGAGGGAGTATTTCCAAACTTATTCTCTAAGGCCAGCATTATTCTAATACCAAAACCAAAGACACCACAAAAAAAGAAAATTATAGACCAGTATCTCTGACGAACACAGATGCAAAAATCCTCAAAAAAATATTAGCAAACTGAATTCCAGAATACATCAAAAGAATCACCCATCATGACCAAGAGGAATTTATTCCAGGGATCCAGGATGGTACAATATTCACAAATCAATCAACATGAAACACCACATTAACAAAAAGGATAAAAACCATATGCTCATCTCCATAGATGCTGAAAAAGCATTTGACAAAATTCAACATCCATTCATGGTAAAAGCTCTCAATAAAATGGGTATAGAGGGCAAGTACCTCAACATAATAAAGGCCATATATGACAAACCCACAGCCAACATACTTAACAGCAAGAAGCTGAAAGCCTTTCTTTTAAGATCAACAACAAGAAAAGGGTACCCACTCTCCACACTTTTAATCACATAGTACTGCAAATCCTAGGTATAGCTATCAGACACGATTTAGAGATAAAAGGTATCTATGTAGGT